TACTCATCCCAGTCGACCTCCCCACAAGGGGAGTTATCTGCATCACGAGTAGGGTTTTCTTGCTCGCGAGCTGCCTCGGAGCCATTTATTTGGACGGAACCAAAATTCAAACCTGCATCAATTAAACGGTCAAGTGTATCGAGAAAGGAATCTATTGAGCATTTTAACAAAAATTATAATCAGTATGTTGTGAAGATTACTCGCGATCTATTAAAGATCGAAAAGAATAAAGATATCTCCTTGATTCTACTTAACTCAACTAGAAATACTTAAGCCATTTAGTAAGGAACAATAAATGGAATAACTCTGAAATTATGTCGACTTATGACAAAGTGTTTATCAAGTCAACTTGAAAACCCTAATCGACATGGGTAGAAATCATCGAGGAATGAGCAGTGAACGCATGACGAAGAACCTAAGGCATGAACATGTTGATGTCGTCACTAATCGGTAAAATCCTTGTGGTCTAGGTCGACTCGCGAGGAACAACTCACTCAAACATAAAAGGTGCACATAAGATCAACACAAATTTTACCAGAAATTGCATGAAAAATATGAAGAACACCAAGAACATTCATCTCACATTCAATCTAAAATCCGAGGAAAATAGCAAAATTTCAAGAATTTAAGAAGTTGGAGAAATTTGATGAAAAATCGCCGAAGAAACAGTAGGATGCTTGAAATTCCAGAAAATTCGAGAGAGTTGGGAAGATAGGAAATGAAAAAAGTGATTCTAATAAGGGATGAGGGGTATTTGTAGTGGAGGCTACGAATTGTCAACCCTCATATCATAAAAGATCTAACGGTCCAGATCGGGCACAAAACGTCAGAATGTGAAGTGACGCATCATTTCAAACTGAAATTCAAAAATATCTCAGAAGCATTTAACCGCCCAATATACTCTTAAGCTTGAGATCGCTTAGAGTAATTTTGGGAAGGGACTAGATGATATAGCTACTGTGGTAAACCGACATTGTTGATAGTTCGACCGAGTGTCAAGTCAAGTCATCCACGTGTCGACTTAAATGATAACGACTTGAGGGTGTCGATTTTTACTCATAGAAGCGACCTGCAAGAAGGGCCCAATCCCAGGTGTTGGGTTCTAGCATATCTAACACCAGGACCTAACACTAATGGGGAACATTTCAAGGACATTAAGAGCATACTGAAATCGAGTAAAGGGATGATAGCTCCCCTCATCGGTATGGATATATCGAGGTCGACTTCTATATCCTCGCAAGCTTGAAATCGACATTTACATCTCGAGGTCGACCTCACTTTCTCCGCTGGTTGAGGTCGACTTACATCATGGACTCGAAGACGTACAAAGGACTAGTAGGATGTTAGGACAGCGACCCCTTATTCACCAGTCTCAAGTCGACCTCCTGTTGCTCGAGGTCAACTTCCTACACCTTGCAGCCCGAGGTGTGCACTAACTAATACTACTTCAATACTCAATGGGCTTAACGAATGAGTAGGATAAATGAAATCTTAAGCTAACCCAGATCTGACTAAGAAGTGATTAGGATACGGGATAAACTGGGCAGCTGGGTAGGCTGACCGGAGGCATTCCGGGCAGGTATTTTCTCCTATAAAAGGGGATGAGGTATGGCCAAACCCTAATATTTACACTCTTTAAATTTTCCATATTCTGCTGCTCTACCTACATAGTATCCCTCTTTCCTTTTGATACTGACTTAAGCATCGGAGGCTCTACACTGAAAACCCCTCCGGCGTTGAGTTCTTACAGGTGTTCGTGGCGATCTAGATGTGGTTCAGACAAATCGAAGCTTATCTCAACCGGTTTACTCCAAATCTTGGAAAAACCCCCATCAACCTTTAAATTTTTTAATGAACTGACTTGACAAATACCAAATGAGCTGGATAATTAAGCTTTCACACAAACTTCTCTTGTGTCCTATTTAATTAGGTTTGTCTCATTGCATGGCCTGTTCTCCATTTTCGTTTGTTTTTTGTCGATTTCACCTCTAATATGTAATTTGACCTCATTTTCTAACAAATAAAAAACCCTAGCAAAGTTGATTGCAAACATGTCGACTTTACTTGTTTGATCAACAAGTTCGATTATCTGTTTGAGTTTGTCATATTTAAATATATAAGCGAGTCGAAGATTGGGTTTTTACAAGTCGAACCGAAATATGTTAACAAATAATTTGGTTCTAGTCATAACAAAAACCGGTGTCTGGTCGAAACTGCCGATCTTGGGCCGAAACCGCCGGTCTCGGGCCATGGGTTGGAGGGCACTGAACTGGCCCGAACACATGCAAGGGCCAGGTCATTGAAACATCAGCTCTTGGCCGCCCGATTCATTAAAAAAATAAAAAATGATTAGAAAATAATATTTTATTTAAAAAAATGTCTGACTTCCAATTCCTGTTTCGGTTCGAAACCGATGTCGCCGATCCAAAATGTATAAACGATAAAGCATTACACATGAACTGGATTGGTCAAACCACGGGCCGGTTTGTGTCGATTCGGGCCGAACCGATGGGCAGGGTTGGCTTGATCATGTCTACTCGATTCCAATAATAGCTACAATAATATGCACTCCTGGATTAAAATTTTTTCTGGCTATGCACTTCATTTTCTCTCCTTATGGCCTACGCAAAACCTAAACACGTGATGTTGGAAATGATGGTTGGACTTGCATACATGCAAGTAACAGTAACAAATTTGATTAGGATTTAGGAATCAAATTGACCAGCATTTGCATCTCAGGCAATCAAAAAAAACTAAGCCAGTATATCAAAAAATACTCTGAGAAAAAACAAAGGTGAAGAAAAAGAAACATCAAGGTTACTGGCAGCATTTTACTAAGCTGTAACCCTACTGAATTAACAGTACATTACGCATGATAGGCTTTTGTATGAGGTGTGCTTTTAGTGTTAGTTCATGCATGATGCATCCTTGTCCTGGGTAACAAACTATTAATGTGCGCGTAATGTGGAAGACGAAAAAGGGTTCAACTTCAGGACCTTGTAGGAATTTCACAAACCTTCCCCAGGCCGTATTTACTTCTATTCTGTGAGAGATGCTCAGGTTTCTGTTAGTCATCCAATTGTCATACTGAGGAGATTTTACTTGCCTTTCCAAAATTAGCAATGTTCACATCTATTTACACCATTATCCCACGAAAATCGGCTACCTTCACACAGGAAAAGAAAAGAAAAAAAAAAAGGAAATGGAAAAGAAGCAAACAGATAAACCATACTCAATAAAGGGGTAAACTGAATGCTGTGCATATTTACTTTGTATAGCATATGCTTTCAAAATATAAAAGGGAAAAAGGACGATCAATAACAACAACAACAACTACATACCCAGTATATTCCCAACTGGTTGGGGACTGGGGGGTCAGTTGTACGCAAACCTTACCCTTGTAATTATACAAGGAGACTTTTTCTGTAGCGACCCAAGGTGCATTGCGTCGTTTGATATATTTCTTTTCTAGAAACTTCACTAATAGAAGAAGCACTAGAATTTAATTGTGCCATTTTGATCTAGTCCATTATTAGCACTGGCATATGCCAGGAGAATTGTCAACAATGACTCTTCCAGCCAGCTCCATTTGCAATGGACAAGAAAAAAGGACAATCAAAGAGAAAAAAACAAATGTGTGTCTATAAAAATAGGAGGATCCAAATAGTGAATAGTTGCACATATTAACAAGAATAAAGAGCATCCGAATTGCACTTTTGATCCCGCCATTTAGCTAGAGAATCAGAATATGTCGGTCAAGCTCCTCTATTTCTACATCTTCACCAGGAAGCAGCACATAAGCCACATAAACTCTACTAGTAAAACTAACAGTTCCATACATTCATTAGTAGAAGATCAGACTTATAGTGAACAGAATACTCCATCACATAACAACCTATTCAATTTACAATAATAATAAAATGGCAATATCTGCGACTAGTCCGTTGGTTTCTGCTCATCATCCCAGTACTTAAAAATAGCGGTTTGTATCTGCAAGTCTGATAGAATAAGCTAGCTAAGAAGGAAAGCTAGTCAAGCCATCTTAGACGATGTAATGACAATTTCCAAGCAGCTAAACAAACTGTTTTAGAAACAATACATATAAATATACATAGGGGCTGGTTCAAATAAAAACTATGTCTGGTGTGAGAACCGTGAAAACCATATTTGATGCTATTTTTTATTGTGTATGATGCTATTTTTAATTTGTATGATGCTATTTTTAATATTGTATGATGCTATTATTTTCGCAAATGCTAACAAAAATTTTATTGCTATTTTTAATAAAATACATCCTACTTAAAAATAGCACTAAAACACAATCAATCATAACATTACTTACAATTAAAAAAGTGGTTCTCACGGTTCTCACATTATGACTTGGTTCTCATTTGAACCACATCCAATATATAGATACATATATATATATATATCAAACTCATGCACAAAGGCCACTCGGAAAAGAAAGATCAATTTCTAGCATTCTATTTGCAGTTGCCAGATTACTTAGACCAGTCAATCATCTGCAACAAAATCCTACAGTTTTTTAATCTTATCAAGGCACAGAGACATGACAGACACTTGCGAAGGGTGGTATTAGGCATATCTGAAACACCAGGATAAAAATAGACTTCTTGAATAGAATTAGCTTTTCGCATTCAGACTAACGATTTATCTCCATGTATTTTGCTAAATCTCTTTTCATACCAGTCCACCAAAATAACATGAAACCCTCCAAATATTACACTTAAACGCTGATTGACCTACACCACAGAACAACACGCAAAGACCTACAAACTTCAACAAATCCAAAATCCAATTAGGAAACAAATAAATATATCAACTACAAGTGCACACAAGTTCCACAACACCACTATACACAATCAATTTCGATATACAAATGAACAACAAATATAGACCGGAATAAACTTACTCAGTCTCAACTTCCAATCTTTCCAGCTCCAATCCACGTTAAAGAAAACACCCAAATATCACGCCGCCTACAAAAACTCCGAGGGCGAGGTGGCATCGGGCTTCCCGCCATCACCCAGTCCAGCCGGATGCTCCAAATTCTGCAAGCCCGGCTGGGCCAACGCCCCAATCGCACCCCCCAATCCATCAGTGGCCGACCCAAAAATCTGGCAAACTAGCCGAGACACAACCCCAAGAATCTGCAGCTGGCTTTGGCATGCATCTGCGTGCATTTGCATCATCTGCTTCTCATGCTGCATTTGCACCTCAAATAATTTCTCTCTCCACTCCATTTCCCTTTCATCCCATTTCTCCTGAAAACTCATCCTCAGCCTCTTTTCCTTCTCGAGCTCTCTCTCCAACCTAGCTCGTCCCTCAAACTCCTTCCTCGCCAGATTTATTCTCAACTCGTCGAGTTCCATTTCCCTCTTGTGAGCCACTTCTTCCATTCTTTTTGTGGCTCGTACCTCCCTCTCCTTTCGCTCGGTTTCAACCTCATGGTTCCATTCCCTTTCCCTCCGCTTATCCTCTCTTCTCAGAATTGCTTCCCTCAGTTCCAAAACCTTGGTGACCACCATCCTCAATTTCTTACCTTTAATCCCCAGTTTATTTTTTTCGTCCTCACTCCCCTCTTTCCCTCCCTTTCCCCCCTCCTCGCTTGCGCCTATATCGGCTCCTTCATCATCATACTCATCGGTTTCCTCAATATCCTCCTCACCGTACCCGAAAATATCAGAATAAATACTCTCATCCCCAATTGTTTTGCTATTACTACTTTTATCGTTGCTATTCATTACCTGGCCGCTGTTTGCGTTGTTACTTGCATCAACCCTAACGCCGTTGTCAGACAACTCGATGTCCCCAAACACTTGCTTGTACTTGAGGAAATTCTCCCAGTGGATCTCGCCGTCGCCCCAGTTGAACTCGTTGCCGGAGATTCGGATCTTCTGCTTGACGCCCAGGTACTGGTGGCGCATGTTCTGCACCTTGATCGACACGTCCCGCCAGGACCACCGGAAGGGAAAGGCGATCGGGTCCCGGAGGTGGTGCAGGGAATTAACGTGATCGGCCACCGGTCGGAACTTCTTCTCCCGGGTCCTGAGCTTCGCGAGTGTGCCGGAATTGAGGAGGTCGGAATATTTGGACAGAAGGGTCTGCTCCTCCAACTCCGACCACTTCTTGCGCTTCATTATTACTTCTTTTCCGATTTTCAAGGGGATTTTAGATTTTTATTGGGGATTTTATTTATTTGGTTGATGAAATTGGGGACTGATGGCGATAAAGAATTAAACACCATGGTGGAAAAAAAAAATCTACATCTCACGGGTCGTTTGGTTCCATGGAATGGGAGGGGAGGGAGGGACGTTTTGAAAAGGGGTTTATTGTACCAAATCTCGTCTATTATATGAAATCTACGTGTTTTTCTTCGAAAATTGTGTCAATTTTTTCTTTTTTTTTTTTTGTATTTCATGTCTCTATACACACTGGCCATTTAAATTAATGCCGTTACTTTTATGCTGACGGCGTTACTTTTTTGTAAAAATTTTCATTATACGTTTACTTTATCATTGAATTTACCATTATATTTTTACTGTCATATATGATGACTCAAAAATAAAATTCCAATGGTGGCGATTACACCCACTATATTTGGGTTATAAAAAGCCACTCTCACTATGGGCTACCAGACATTTATTTGTATTTTATAAATGTGATTTTATTTATGTATACATAACATATAACGAAAATAATATAATAATTAAGTATATAGATTCTAAATTATAAATAATATAGTAACTAAATATATAGATTATAAATATTGTTATAATTATTTTCTTAGTTATAAATAATATAATAATTAAGTAAATAGATTTTACACTACAAATAATATAATAATTAAATAGCGAGATTATAATTTTAAATAATATAATAATTTGATATATAAATAATATAATGATTAAATATTTGTACTCTAAATTATAAATGGATATAATGATTTAATAAATTTTGTATTATAAATAATATAATGATTGAGTAAATATATTCTAAATTATAAATGGTAATATAATTAAGAAAATAAATTGTAAATTATAAATAATATAATAATTGAATAAATTGCAAGTATAATGATAATTATAAATTATAAATAATATAATAATTATGTATATATATTCTAAATTATAAATAATACAATTGTAATTATAAATATTAAGTAATATAATAATTTAGTATATATAATTTATATTAATTTAGCAAATAGATTCTAAATTGTAAATAATCTAATAATTCAATAAATTATATTCTAAATTATAAATCATATAATAATTTAGTAAATATATTATATATTACATATAATATAAAGATTTAGTAAATAGATTCTATATTATAAATGATACAATAATTAAGTAAAATATATTCAAAATTAAGAATAATACGATATCTTAAAAAGAGATTCTAAATTATAAAGAAGAATAAAAGTTTTATTCAATTATATTTATTCAGATTTAAAATCAACAAAATAACCAAAACTTTTTTATATTATTTAAATTTAATAAAAAGGATAATTTAAATTTTACTTAATATTTTCTTAATTATAAATAACATTTTATATTTTTATTACATCACTAGAATTGAAAATTAATAAATTGATAAATAATAATTATTTAAATTATTTATTATAATTGAAAATAAGAAATTTAATGAAATAAATAAAGTTGATATAATTATCAAATATGTAAGAAAATATAAAAACTAAATAAGTGAAATAAAAACAAATCACATATATAGCTATTGAATACAATGTAATTTATTTAGAAATTACTACTTTAATAATATATTATATATAGAAATATCATTTTATTTTTTTATAAGTAAATTTAATTTAACTTAATTTTATTTATATATATTATATTACTTCAATTAATAAAAACGTATATTTAAATTTTATATTCATATTATTTATTTTATTTAAATGAAATTTTCGTTCATTTTTATATTAAATATTATTATACTTATTTATTACTTTCAAAGTTCACATTTAATTTTATTTAATTTAAATTATTATTATTTTATTTCAAATAAATTTTATTATTTTTATTTAGTTTCTAACTATATTATTTTTTATTTTTTGTTTGATTCTTTTGTTCGTGTTGTTTTAAATAAATGTGTGTTAATTATGGACCATATAATGATGGTGGCAAAGTGGTACGAATTCTTGCCTAGTGAGGTTTTGGCCCAAGTTCGAATCTTATGAGAAGCAGCCAAATATCAATTTTTCCTAGACAAACAAGGGACAAAATAGTAAATTTCAATTTTAAAATAAATAATATATGAAAATATTGAATTATTGTCGCATTACATGAATGTGTAATACACGCTACGTGAAGTTGGACGAAGAGGGGGAATCGTGCAACATATAGTTGATATGAGAGGGTTTGACGCAATTCTTGAAATACCAGGAGATAATGTGCAGATTTCATATAATACATGGGGATCATATATATTTTACCCTTTTAAAAAAGTGTTGTTTGGTTTGATTTTTGGGAAGGAAGGGTAGATAAATTTTTAACACAAAATCCCTCTTTCTCCCATTTTTTTTTTCTTTTTTTTTGGAAACGATAGACTTTATAAATAAACACTTACTTATAACCAGTTAATTAGTTAAATAAGGGAAGCCTACAAAAGGTATCATAAATCACAATACACTACAAAACACAAAAACTAAAACTCAATTAATAGAGAATACACATTCTTCAATGGGAGAATACACACTCCTAAGAGCATCTCCAATGCTCAAATGTTGTTATAGAATTTTTTTTGACAAATGTCAAAAATTTAAATAGATTGTGAACCATGTGGGACAAATGTTGAGTTCACAACTACTAAATTAAAAAATTATCTCCAATGCACAATGTTGCCTAATTACAATATTATTTACTTGCCAAATAATAAAATATTAATATGAATCAATAAAATTAAATAAATAATTAAATGGTTTGAAGATGGTAATAATAATTCTCTCTCTTCTCCTCATTGGCTAATTAGAATGTGGAATAGAATGTGGATGAACCACATTCTTCTCTACATTGTGGACATTAATTATGTCCACATCATCACAATATTTGTCATCACATTGTACATTGGAGGATGAAAAATTGTGATATTAATAAATGTGTTGATATGGAGTATAATTTACCACTACAACATTGAACATTGGAGATGCTCTAAATAGGAGAAAAAACCACATACTCTTACAACACTAACAAATACACAATAAACAACAAGAACTACTACATAAAATAAACTATAGCCCTCCCCATCGGACAAGAGAACCAATCACCACCATAACCCGAGCCAACACCTAACGCGGTCTATCGGGAGAAGCCACGAATCCACAACCCAACACAACGGCTCAAGCAACTCCCCTATAATGGGCTAACGAGATCCAGACCATAGACCCGTCAGCCTCTCCTAGTGCTTCGAACACTCAATCTAGACTGGTCCACTCTACGACCTCCCCACGCAAACGTCGGAGCTGCTGCACCACCGTACAAGCGCCACCAGAGGAACCAACTTTCCCAACACCAGGGAAGGCCGAAAAAAAAAAAAAATAAGGCTAGGCCAATGCCCCAACCGTCGTAAGGACGTCTGTGGTGTCTGTCGAACACCGCCGCCAGCAACGCCCATGCCACCTCACCCGACATAGCAAAACTTGAAGATCGGGACCACTCGAGGAGAGAGGACGAAAACTCACCAGCGTCGTGATGCCAGGCCCTGGGCGGGCCAGATGCTCACGGGAAATTAGGGCACTATGGCCGTCGAAAGAAAGTAGGTTACTGCAATTTGGGGTTTTGGTTTTTGGGGGAAGAAGAGAGAGAGAGAGAGAGAGAGAGAGAGAGAGAGAGAGAGAGAGAGAGAGAGAGAGAGAGAGAGAGAGAGAGAGATTTTTATTAAGCATTCCTCTATCATTTTTTCTCCCCTCTTAAAGTGAGGAATTTGGAAATGAGGGAACATTTCTAAATAGTTAATCCCCCTCTATATATAATTCTCGAATATTTTGAGATTAAGTGGCAGACTCACATGTTTGATGCTTCGAGATCCCAGGTGTCAAAATTTCATGCTTCATCATTTGGCTTGGACACATTTTAATTTAATTTCAATCTAAAAATAATTAGGTCTGGATTACCATAAATATGTTTATTATTTATGATCATTTTAGATGTATTTATTATATTTTAATATTATTTCTTATTATAAACCATCGAATTGTAAATGTAATTTAAAAGTTGATAACTTTTAATTTTTTTATTGGTTTTACATATATAATACATCAATAATCATCTTTTGATGAGTTTCAATTTGACATCTATATTGTATGTACAAAGTAAATATATTATATTTATCGGTATATTAATAAGAAAATTACTTATTAATATCAATTAGAAAAAATTAAATTATTTCTCAATTAATATATTTATGTTTAAAGTAGTTATAAGTTAGAAAAAATTATTATAATATAACACAGATAAGTCGCACAAGTAACAAATGTCTTTCGAAAATATATTTATAAAAAAGTATTTGCATTTTAAATATTTTTTCTCATTAATTTTAAATTTTAAGGGAAAAAATTTTAATAAGCACTCGTGTAATACACGGGTGTTGTACTAGTTATTATTATACCCTTATAATTTTTTTTTTCAGCGATAGTAAACATCAATGAACGGACAAATTACAATGTTCGAATACAAACGGATTAAGGAAACCTCGATACAAGTCGTGATGAAATAGGCATACCGCACACGTGTGTGGCCTAATCAAATAACACTAACCAAGCTATATAACTAAGGGCAATAAAGTACCAATTGAAATGTTCAGTTACACAAATAGCAACCGAAATATAACACAAACAATATACATAAGACTAAATCTAGCCACTGACAACAAGACCTAGCTAGAAGAACTCTTATCCTCGAAGAATCAGTTCACCCTGGCATTCATTAAAATCCATCCAATCTTGCACCGCCGCCTTCAGGATGAATTATTCATGTTTCCACACAACTTGAAAAACCTGCAGGTTTCGATCTTCCAAAAGCCACCAAATGTTGTATGTAAACAGTTGGATATGAGCTTTAGAAATGTCTTTATGATCCATAGAACTCACCCATCACCACCATTGCTTGAAGTCACCGAA